ATTGGAGATAAGAGTCTCACAGACTTTCCTGCCCGGGCTGGCTTTGAACCATGATCCTCAGATCTCAGCCTCCTGAGTAGCTAGGATTACAGGCATGAGCCACTGGCGCCAGGCTAAAAAGTTAGACCAGTAAAAATCTAGATGCGAAAGCATTTCATCGCAGTTATACAGTATATTTAAATAGGATTGTTCAGTCCAGCTAGGAATAAACTCAATACCCTATTTGAAAAAAGAGTTAGGGGCATAGATCAAGTGATAGAATACTTGCTTAACAAGTGTAATGTCCTGAGTTCAAATTCTTAGTGCCAAAAAAATTAGCTGAAGCTGGGCAGCAGTGGCTTATGCCTGTAATCTTAGCTACTCAGGAGGCTGAGATCTGAGCCTCTCCATTCAAAGCTAGCCCCAACAGGAAAGTCCATGAGACTGTTATTTCCGATCAACCACCAGAAAACCAGAAGTAGCGCTATGGCTCAAGTGGTAGAGCACTAGCCTTGAGCTGAAGGGCTGAGGGACAGCGCCCAGGCCCGGAGTTCAAGCTCCTGGACCAACCAAAAAAAAAAAAAAAAAAGTTAGCTTGGAGGTGGGTAGTTCATGGTTGTAATCTTAGCACTCAGAAAGCAGATGCAGAGCTGGGAAGGTGGGTCAGTGGTAGAGTGCTTGCCTTGCATGCACGAGGCCCTGATTCCTCAGCACCACATAAGCAGAAAAAGCCGTAAGTGGCGCTGTGGCTCAAGTGGTAGGGTGCTAGCCTTGAGCTGAAGAGCTGAGGGACAGCGCCCAGGCCCATGACTCACAAAAAAGAAGAAAAGAAAAAAAAAAGCAGGAGTAACTCAAGAGTTAAGGCCAGCTTGAACTGCAAAGTGAAAAACCCAAGGGCTGTGAGTGTAGTTTAGTGGTAGAGTCTTTGTCTTTATGCACAAGTCCAGGTTCCATCTCCAACACCTTAAAAAGGTTAAAAAAAAAAAAAGTAAAACGCATAGTATATATTACATAATTATGTATAATTATATACTTTAATTGAAAAGAAAGGATTGGGGAGAATGAAAACAATTGGAATTCCTTCACATACTGCTCACCTTAATTTTATTTTCCTCAGTAGTTACCATTGTTAGGCTGGGTGTGGTGGTGATTGAAGCTGGGTGTGGTGGTACATGCATGTAATCCCAGATACTCAGGAGGCATAGATAGAAAGACTGGCCAAGGTACAGTGCAAAACCCTATCTAAAATATAAAGGAAAAAAGAGGGTCTTTGGGAGTCTGACATGAGTACTAGAGCAACTTCCTAGCAAGTACAAGGCTCTGAATTCAAGCTTCAGTACCAAAAGGGGGGAAAAAAGTGACTGCTCTTAACAGAAGCATGTGTATTCATCCATGCCTTTTTTTCTTCTTTTTTTTGGTCAGTCCTGGGGCTTGAACTCAGGGCCTGGGCACTGTCCCTGAGCCTCTCTAGACTCAAGGGTAGCGCTGTACCACTTGAGTCACAGCGCCACTTCTGGCTTTTTCTGTTTATTTGGTACTGAGGAATCGAACCCCAGGCTTCATGCATATTAGGCAAGTACTCTACCACTAAGCCATATTCCCAACCTTCTTCTATGTCTTTTTTTTTGTCTGTCGTGGGGCTTGAAATATGGGCTTGGGTGCTATCCCTGAGCTTTTCAGCTAAAGGCCAGCACCTTACCTCTTGAGCCATAGCACCACTTCCGGTTTTCGAGTGGTTTATTGGAGATAAGAGTCTCACGGGGCTGAGAAGACCCAAAAAATAAATAATTAAAAAAAAAAAAAAAGAGTCTCACGGACTTTGCTGCCCGTCCTGGCTTTGAACCGTGATCCTCAGATCTCAGCCTCCTGAGTAGCTAGAATTACAGGTGTGAGCCACCGGTACCCGGCTCTTCCATGTCTTTTTTTTTTTTTTAATAGTTTAATGTATTTTAATAGCAAACTTACAGGAACAGCACAGAAGACAGACAACATTAAAAACATGAACTTGCTTGTAGGACAACTCAGAAAAGTGGAGTGAACAGATGGAATCTACCGTATGATAAAACTTCCATGTCTTTTTTTTTTTTTTTTTTAGTCTGGTCGTGGGGCCTGAACTCTGGGCCTGGGCGCTGTCCCTCAGCTCTTCAGCTCAAGGCTAGCGCTCTACCACTTGAACCACAGCTCTACTTCTGGCTTTTTTCTTTTTGCTTATGTGGTGCTGAGGAATTGAACCCAGGGCCTCAGGCGTGCAAGACAAGCGCTCTACCACTGAGCCACCTTCCCAGCCCCTAACTTCCATGTCTTTATGCAGAAATATCAAGCCATATTTTGTTTGTATATATGCTTGAACACAGGGCCTCAAGTTCTTGCTTAGCTTTTTTGTTTGTTTGTCTGCTTGTTTGTTTAAGGCTGGCCCTCTACCACTTGAGCCACACCCCCACTTTCAGCTTTTTGATGGTTAGCATTCTGAGTAGCTGGGATTACAGGTATGAGGCTCCAATGCCCAGCTCCATCAATATATTTTGTTCAACTTGAGAAAACTGACACAAAGAAAGAAGTTAGAAACTTTGGGCTGGGAAGGTGGCTCAGTGGTAGAGCGCTTGCCTTGCATGTATGAGGCCCTGGGTTTGATTCCTCAGCACCACATAAGCAAAAAGAAAAAAAGCCAGAAGTGGTGCTGTGGCTCAAGTGGTAGAGCGCTAGCCTTGAGCTGAAGAGCTGAGGGACAGCGCCCAGGCCCAGAGTTCAGGCCCCATGACCAGACCCCCCCAAAAAAAAGGAAAAGGGGGGGAGACACCCTTAAATTGAGTAAAATTGGCTTTGTGAAAAATCTATATTGTCTTTATTTTGATTATTTCATTAGAGACCAGTAAAAACTTAATCACAAAATGGTACATATGTGTCTGGATTATTAGAACTCACTGACATAGCTGACTGCAAACTACCCTGTAGGATCACATTATGTTGTTACAGTCCTTTCAATTTATCTAGTCAACTTTAGGACCTTGAGGTGTTGGGTTTTTTTGTTTGTTTCTTGTTTTTTGTTTTTGTCAGTTGTGGGGCCTAGGCACTGTCTCTCAGCTCTTCAGCTCAAGGCTAGCACTGTACCAACTGAGACAGAGCACCACTTCAGACTTTTTCTGCTTATGTGGTGCTGAGGAATCGAACCGAGGGCTTCATGCATGCAAGGCAAGCACTCTACCACTGAACCACCTTCCCAGCTCCTCCTCTGGGAGTTTTGTTCCTCTGCATTGCATCCTGTGCGATTTTCATTTTTACTATCTAGAAAGTAGCATTGCTGAGATATTTAATTTGGCACCAAAACCCTTGCTGTAGTGACAAAGAGTGGTTCCCCACATAAGAGTATGATGTCTGGGGCTGGGAAGGTGGCTCGGTGATAGAGCGCTTGCCTTGCATGCATGAAGCCCTGGGTTCGATTCCTCGGCACCACATAAGCAGAAAAAAAAGCGGGAAGTGGCACTGTGGCTCAAGTGGTAGAGCGCTAGCCTTGAGCTGAAGAGCTGAAGGACAGCGCCCAGGTCCAGAGTTCAGGCCCATGACCAGACCCCCTCCACTCCCTCCCCCCCCTCCGCAAAAAAAGAGTATGATGTCTTTGGAGTCACTAGGATATCAGCCTTGGAGAAGGAAAAGGAATAACTCAAACAAAGCATCATTTTAGAGAGATATTTTTGTTTATTGTTCCCTCATTAACTCCCTCTTTCTCGGTAGTAACGATGATGGAAGATATTTAGGTTTGTTTGACTAGAATCTGAGAGCCACTTTTTGTCTGATAGCTTCCCTCTTCCAACAGCTTTCTTAACCTTTGTAGAGGGAAGAGGAATTGATTCACTTATTCTTTAATTAAGTCTTGATTGCTTGTGTTTAGAGATCAGCCTTCCTCTACCTCTAGTTTGGAGGGCTATAGCTGTTAGGCCTCTTTGGTATGGAGGGTAATCTTAATCTCTAGGCATCAGCAAGACAGCTGCAAGCTGAGAGTAGGTCAAGCTTTCAGACCTAGATTTGATAGACTCTCAAGACTTGGGGAAGTGAAAAATTGATACCAAATGTGATAGATCTGTGGGTTGTGTTTCTTTTGTTGTTGTTGTTGGTGGTGGTGGTGGTGGTGGTGGTCATGGGGCTTGAACAGCATGGGCGCTGTCCCTCAGCTCTTCAGCTTAAGGCAAGCGCTCTACCACTTGAGCCACAGTGCCACTTCCAGTTTTCTGGAGATCAGAGTCTCATGGACTTTCCAGCCCGGGCTGGCTTTGAACATGGATGCTCAGATCTCAGCTTCCTGAGTAGCTAGGATTACAGGTGTGAGCCACCGGTGCCCAGTTGTGGGTTGTTTCTTTCCTCACCTATAACCAGAAATGAGAAAGAATAGGACTCTGATAAGATCTTTGGAAATGTCAAGATAGATGAATATAGAACCAGATGCTACCTCAAATCCTTAGGAGAGGATATGTCCTCACCCCTAGAAAAATCTCCCTAGAAAAATCTCTCATTTTGAGAACTAAATAAAAGTCATGGCATCGAGATACCAAGGAAACACTGAATATCTAGGGTACTTGGGGGTAAATCCAGACTAACTGAAGGCTGACCAATTTGTTGTCACTCAGAAACTAACAAACAAACCTTTGAAGACTTTATAAGGAGTTAGTTGGGATTAAAGCTCTGTTTTCAGTCTCCATTTCAGCTCCTTGTCAGTCAGACTTTGTTATAGAGCTAACTCTTATTTCAGAAGCAATTCTTATTCATTGTCCCCCACTCTTAAAGCTAATTGTTAGCTGCCAGGGAACTTCATAGATTTGTAACTTTTCAATGATGGAAAATCCTCAGAGGACCAAGAAAATTAAGAGATTCTGCCCTTCCTCCAAAAAGCAATTGTACCTGCAATGGATCTGTGTCTAATTTTTTTCCACTTTTTTCTTGCAGGACTGTTGAATCCTGGAAGTCCCCTCCCCTCCCCCTTCCCCCCTTTGCCGCTTTGTGGCATCCCCCTCCCTCTACCCTTTCCCACTCTAATAATCTGGCCATGACTAGCAGAAGTACGGCCAGGCCCAATGGGCAGCCCCAGGCCAGCAAAATATGCCAATTTAAATTGGTCCTGCTGGGGGAATCTGCAGTGGGGAAGTCTAGCCTGGTATTACGTTTTGTCAAAGGACAGTTCCATGAGTACCAGGAGAGTACCATTGGAGGTAAGTACTTCAGAGAAAGAAGAGATCCAATAATTTGTAAGGTACATAGGAGGGAGATAATAGGACCTGATTATGGATCTGGCCTTCTTAACACTATTCATTACCCCAGGAATAGATACCTTTATAAAAACAAACAATTTCCATAAACACCAAAAATCAGGTGTTCATCTTTTTACTTTCTAGAAAAAAAGAAAATAAACTTTGTAGACCTGGAATAATCACTTAATCCTACTCCTTGTCATCTTAGTGACAGGTTCAGCTGAGTGACATCTTGAGCAGATAAAAGTTGGTTTGGATCTGGATCTGGTGGCTCATGCCTATAATACCAGCACTTAAGAGTCTGAGACAGGAAGATTGCAGCAGGTTGCAGGCCATCCTGAGCTATATAAGGAAATCTTGATTTGCAACAATGATTCATGGTTTTAAAAAAAAATTATACCAAGAGTTGCCCGAGAGTCAGGTACTAGTGACTCACACCTACAGTTATAGCTGTCCAAGAAGCAGAGATCTGAAGACCAAGGTTCGAAGCCAGCCCCAGAAAAAAAAAGCTCACAAGACTATCTCCAATTAACTACCAAAAATGCTAGACTGAAGGCATGACAAGCGGTGGTGCATTCACTGTGAAGGAAAAAGTTGAGCAGGAAAAGAAAGAAAAGATGTGGGAAGTCATAGAGCTCTGAGTTCAGCCATGGTACTAGTCTAAATAAATAAATAAATAGAATTGCCCTGGGAGCCTTCTTAACCAGTGTATACTTGGGCTATACTCGAGATCTGCTGGTTAATGTTGCGGCAGGGTGAGGTTAGTGGCAGTAGCATAGGCATATGTCTGGAGAAACTCCTTAGATGGATTTTGCTACACATAGCTAGTAAAAAAAAAAAAGTCTGGAATCAATATCAAATATAAAAGGCACCTGCCTTTTCTATTTTTGCTACCCTCTCCCTGTAACTAGCCTCAAATAGCTAACTCAATAAAGGATCTTTTATGAGAATGTCCATTTTGCTCCTTCCCCCTTTTACCAGTCATCTTGAAAGTGGAATGTCCTGTAGCAGGTGGTGATAGAAAAAAATAATGGCGAAAGTCAGGCCCTGATGGCTCATGCCTGTAATCCTAGCTTACTCAGGAGGCCAAAACCTAGGGGACTGAGGTGTGAAACCAATCACAAGACTATCTTTCCAAGTAACTAGCAAAAAACAGGGCTAGAGGTATGTTTCAAGTAGTAGAGTGTCAGCCATGAGTGAAAAAGGCAAGTGAGTATAATACCCTGAGTTCAAGCCCAGCACATATATACAAAAGTTTAGCCAAGCCGGATGCTGGTGGCCTGTAATCCTAGCTACTCAGGAGACTGAGATATGAGGATCATTGTTCAAAGCCAGCCCAGGCAGGAGAGACCGTGAAACTCCTATCTCCAATAAACCACAAGAAAACCAGAAGTGGTGCTGTAGCTCAAGTGGTAGAGCGCTCACCTTGAGCTGAAGAGCTGAGGGACAGCATCCAAGCCCAGTGTTCAAGCCCCACAACCAACAACAACAACAAAAAATTTAGCCAGGTATTGATGACTATGACCTGCCATCAAGCTTTAAGTTTTTCTAATTAGTCTTTTTAAATCTTGTTATAAAAATCCTATGAAGGGCTGGGAAGGTGGCTCACGCCTGTAATCCTAGCTACTCAAGGAGCTGAGATCTGAGGATCACGGTTCAAAGCCGGCCCAGGCAGGAAAGTCTATGAGACTCTTTATCTCCAATAAATCATCAGAAAACCAGAAGTGGGGCTGTGGCTGAAGAGGTAGAGTGCTAGCCTTTAGCCAAAGAGCTGAGGGACAGCGCCCAGGCTCAGAGTTCAAGTCCCATGACTGGGGGGAAAAAATCTTATGAAGTTATTGTCTCTGTCATTATTTGTTGTCCCCCACTAGTTTAGTTAAAAGGATGACTGGTGTCAGAGTCAATCGTGCACCTTCTCCCTTACAGTTTAAGTGACCATTCTTTAGAGAAGTTCTTGATAGGAATGTCTTGGCCAAAGACAATCTTAATCTTGTTCACAGGAGAACAGTAAACCTGTGGCTGAGCATCCTGGATAGTAATTTATCTTAGAGAATGGAGATCCTCTGAAAGGGGTGGTATGTTCTCATTCTTCATTCTACTTACAACTTCTTCCCCTCTATTATCCATAGCGGCCTTCCTCACCCAGTCCGTTTGTCTAGATGATACAACAGTCAAGTTTGAGATCTGGGATACAGCTGGGCAGGAGCGATACCACAGCTTAGCCCCTATGTACTACAGGGGTGCCCAAGCTGCAATTGTGGTTTATGATATTACTAATCAGGTAAGTGAGCTGAAAAGACTATCCTTGCTTTTTTTTTGGGGGGAGGGGTCAGTTGTGGGGCTTGAACTCTGGGCCTGGGCACTGTTCCTGAGCTCTTCAGCTCAAAGCAAGCACTCTACCACTTAAGCCGCAGCACCACTTCTGGTTTTCTGGTGGTTTATTGGAGATAAGAGTCTCACGGTCTTTCCTGCCTGGGCTGGCTTTAAACCACAATCCTCAGATCTCAGACTCCTGAGTAGCTAGGATTACAGGCCTGAGCCACCAGTGCCTGGCTGTCCTTGCTTTTATTTATAGGAATTAAATGGGATGGGGGAGAGGAAACAAGTTCTTGAAATAACAAAATAAGAGTACCAAGGCTAAGATGTGGTAATGAATTATAAGACCTGTGGTTTTAGTGATTAGCTTTCATAGAGTTTGTTGTGGCTGGTCTATCTTTCCATCTACTCACTCTCTTCCTAATATTTTCTTAGGAAACGTTTGCCCGAGCAAAGACCTGGGTGAAGGAACTACAGCGGCAGGCCAGTCCTAGCATTGTTATTGCCCTGGCGGGAAACAAGGCTGACCTGGCCAATAAGCGCATGGTGGAGTATGAGGTAAGCTGCTCCATGAAGTCTCTTAATACACTCCCTCTGTATGTGGGACTTTTCCAAACCAGCCGTCTCCAAAAAACTGAGGACATTGATTGTCTCATTCTCCAGTTCTACACCACATTAAATATAGCAACACTGTGACCCTAGTGACACCCAGATTTTAGAGGAATCAAAAGAAAATCCTAGAGCAGAGTGGTAGGAAAGTATCAACTGTGGTACTTCCAGTGTGAAAATATGGAGGGAACAGCTAAATTTGAGGTAACAGATCTACTCAAGTGTTAGAACCAAAAAGCTCACTTAACTTCTCCTAACTAAGATTATTTCTGACATCTGTTTGTTGAACTCAGTGAACATGGGTTTATCCTGAGGGATCATTACTAAATTATGAGTCCAGTGTCATATGGCAGGAGGGCCATTAATTAAGGGGAGGAAATCTAGTATCTTGTCTAGCCTTGGAACTTTATGAGACTGAAAAAGCAAGTATTTCTCCCATTCCATGCAGGAGGCTCAGGCATATGCTGATGACAACAGCTTATTGTTTATGGAGACTTCAGCCAAGACAGCTATGAACGTGAATGATCTCTTCCTGGCAATAGGTAAGGTCAGAACATCCTAAGGTTATCCTATCTGTCCCTTGTCTATAAGTAAAGTCATCACTGACCAAATCAAGGATACGTAGGAGTGTCTGCTCTTGTAATAACTTGAAGTATCAGGCTGGGGGTGCAGGTCAGTGACAGAGTACTTGCCTTGCAGGTGCAAGGCTTTACATTTTTATTCTGAGCACTGTACACCTGTAATCACAGTTATTCTCAGGAAGCTGAGCTCTGAGAATCACTGAAGCCAGCCTGGGAAAGGAAAGTCCCTAGAATCTTACCTCCAGTTAATCACCAAAAAGCCAAAAGAGGAGCTATGGCTCAAGTGGTAGGGCACTAGCCTTGAACACAAAAGCTCTGGGACAGCACCCAGGTCCTGAGTTCAAGCCCTATTAAAAAAAAAAAAAAAGAGGTGTGGAAATACCTTAGCTATCTATTGTGACCTCTATCCTTTTACTGCAGTTTTAGCCTCCTTGTGTTCTATATAGTTTGCACAGTGAATTCTCCCTCTTCTGAACATTCTTGTAATCTCTTGCTTTATCTATTTGTGTATGTGTGTAAATGAGAAAAATCTTTTTTTTTTTTTTTTAATGTGGATTGTAGGAACTCTGGGCCTGGGCGCTGTCCCTCAGCTCTTCAGCTCAAGGCGAGCGCTCTACCATTTGAGCCACAGAGCCACTTCTGGTTTTATGAGTGGTTTATAGTCTTCACAGACTTTCCTGCCCAGGCTGGCTTGGAACCATGATCCTCAGATCTCAGCCTCCTGAGTAGCTAGGATTATAGGTGTGCGCCCAGCTGTAAAAATCTTTCTTACTGTTTCCTTCTTTTTATCTTTAGCTAAGAAGTTGCCAAAGAGTGAACCCCAGAATCTGGGGGGTGCAGCAGGCCGAAGCCGGGGTGTGGATCTCCATGAGCAGTCCCAGCAGAACAAGAGCCAGTGTTGTAGCAACTGAGGGGGTGGCTAGCAGCAAACAAATATGGAGCTAGCACGACAGCTAAGAAATCACCTCCATCCCCACCCCTCAGCACACAGCCCCTACGGTAACAGCACACTGAGCCCTGGCTCCCAAGGGCTGCCTCCTGACAGCTCCATCATGGCACTTTTTAACGCTTCAGCAACCAACACCAGGCAGCTGTTGCCACTGGCCTCCTGCCCCGTACTCTGGGGCTTGGGGGTCAAATCCCCCCAGGACTTACCTTCCAAAACAAACTTTCTCCACTTTGTATTATAGGTGCAAGACAGTGACCTACTTTTTCCTCCTCCTCTATTTTCTTTCCCATTTTTTCAGAACATGCTTCTTGTCTCCTGCCCCTCCCCTCCCTTCCACTTTTGATCAATCCCTGTTCTTGATCCTCTTCTCTTCCCAGGATGGAGAAGGTGGTGAACCCAGGAACTAAGAAGGGAGATTTCTAGGTCAGTTAACATTTATATGCCCTGGAGGGAGAGGAAGGCCCAGAGCAGGAGGAAGTACGAAAATATTTCCTTTTGTTTTTATTGAGTTGGCATTTCTCATAGTTGAAAACACTGCAGAATCCATGAGTTGGCCTTGTGGAGGGGTGTTCCTAGTTAGAGGTGAGAATGGGGCGGCAAACTCTCAGGCCACATGGGAGTCATATATTGTTAGCTAACTGGATGGAAAGGGAGCTATGGTTCTGGAACTCTTCCAAGGCCCAGTTTTCCCTTACCCAGCCTCATAGATTGGGGATCAGATCCCAGAGTCCTCCAAAGAATCTTCACTGGTTGCCTGCACCTTTGGCTCTGCTGTGATCTAATTGGAGGGGGGAACCAGTTTCTGATGCCCATCCTCTGAGTTATACATATGCATTTCCCCTCCACCCCTGGCCTTAAGATGGCCTCACCTCCATATACCATATCCCCCTGCAGTTTGCACTTTAACTGATGGTGATTCAGTCAGGATACTTGTTTTACAGGGTTTTTGACTGATTTTGCCTGTCCTCCAGCCTTTTTAATTCAGTGGAATCTGAGATACATGAGGTTTGGGGAGAGGCTGCAGAGAGCAGGACTAGTGGCAGCTACCCAAGCCCAGTATCCACTGCTAGCTTCCTCCTACTCTGATTTGTAACCTCTGCTCTTGCCAGCCTAGCTGTTGGATATAGGTTGCCTTTACTGGAGAATTAACTAAGCAACTGGAGAGTGGCCTCAGGATAGCCCAGGCCGAGAAGTCAGACAAAAGGGAGAAGCTTTCTATCCTTTTCCAGGGTTTCACACTCAATTTACTATCCATGACCATGTCTTTTCTACTTCCCTGTAAATAGGTAAAATCTTTATTCTCACTGTATAGTGTATTTCCTACCTCCCATCAGGCCCATTTTCTTCTTATGTTATCTCCTCCATTCTAATCCTCCCATACCTATCCTCCCATGCAACCCGTGGTTTACTTTATGTACCACTAGGGGCTAATACCACAAAGGCCTACTGAGGCCTCCCTCATAGAATACCACCTATTTCTGTGGACAGGAAGTGACTAGCACTGAAGGTTCCTTACAACTGTCCCACATCATCAAAGGACTTTGGTTCTTTCTAAGTCTCTAGCCTCTCTTCACATCCTTCATCAGGTGTTTTAGGATGTCTGTGGGAAGCTATCAAAGTGAGAAAGAACTCTTTTAAGTTACCTCTTGTTCTAGCCCAGTTTGTTTATTTTTTTTTAAACTTTGGGGACAAAAGACAGGAAAAGCCACAGTAACCCAGGATTGGAATCTTTCTGCCCTTATGGCTTGGAAATGGCCGCTGTCCCAGAGCAGCTGAGAAATGCATGAAGTTGAGATGCTGAAAGACCCAGCTTTGGTTCTTCCACTTAGGCCTCAGTTCCTTCCTTTTCCAGGGGCAGCCTTAGTTCCCATGGCCCTGAACTACACATATATTTCCCCTTTCTTCCACAGAACCCATTAGTTCTTCAAAGCACTCAGTGCATCCTTTTTACAAGTGGAAGAACTAGGATGGCTCTGTAAGTCTCTTAAGAAATGAAATTCTCCATGCAGCTTTCCTCATGGAGCAGGAGTGAAGATATTTCATTGCCTTGGGGCTGGGGAAATGCTTTCCCAGGATTCCCCATTCCTCACCCTCTTAGGAACAGTATTGGCCTTAGCTTCCAGGCCTATCTGCTGCCTTTCCTCTACTCCTACCGGCTCTTCTGCCCTCCTTTGAGCACTGTTGGGGTTGGGGATTTTAGTTTTTTATTTCCCAGCTCTTCATTTTTTTTTCTTCTAATCAGTTTTTTTTTTTTTAAAGGGGAAGGGGTATCTCTCTTTTTTGCTTCTGAGAAAGCATTTGCCTTTCTTTCCCTCTCTCCTTCCAACATAACAATCGTGGTAACAGAATGCGACTGCTGATTTACCGATGTATTTAATGTAAGTAAAAAGGAAAAAAAAGAAAAATGTATTGGAGTGTTGTTTTGTTTTGTGTCATTTGTGTGTCTGCATGATACTAGAAATTTGAAAGAAAGGGTACCCATTGTCTTACTGAATTAGAAACATACCTTTTCCTCCATCTTGATACCTCTTTACTTCCTTTCTCATCTTTTCTTTTTTCTTTTTTTTTTGGAGTCCAGTCATGGGGCCTGAACTCTGGGCCTGGGCGCTGTCCCTCAGTTCTTCAGCTCAAGGCTAGCGCTCTACCACTTGAGCCAGAGCACCAATTCCGGCTTTTTTCTCTTTGCTTATGTGGTGCTGAGGGATCGAACCCAAGGCTTCAGGCATGCAAGGCAAGCACTCTACCACTGAGCCACCTTCCCAGCTCCTTTTTTTTTTTTTGCCAGTTGTGGGGTTTGAACTCTGGGCTTGGGCACTGTTCCTTAGCTCCAGTTGCTTAAGGCTAGCTATCTAGCTCTTTTTTTTTTTTTGGGTCCGGTCGTGGGGCCTGAACTCTGGGCCTGGGTGCTGTCCCTCAGCTCTTCAGCTCAAGGCTAGTGCGCTACCACTTGAGCCATAGCGCCACTTCCGGCTTTTTTTTTCTGCTTATATGTTGCTGAGGAATCGAACCCAGGGCCTCATGCATGCAAGGCAAGAGCTTTACCACTGAGCCACTTTCCCAGCCCTCTTTAATTTTAATTAATAAAATTATTTATATTTTTCCCTACATAGCCTATGCTAGTCTAGAACTAGAGTTCCTACTTCAGCCACCCAGGTGCGGGAATTACAGGTATCTGACATCATGCCAGGACTTCCGGTCATATTTAGACAGTCCCTAGCTAGCTGACTTCTCTTAGGTTGACTTGTATGTTTTAATTCATTGTTATTATAGAGGTAATGTACAGATGGGTTACATTTACATGAGTCAGGTAATGCATACATTTTCTTTCTTACAATGTCATCTGTTCCGTCATTCTCTCCCAGTCCCTCCCTCCCACCTCCATTTATGAGTGCACTTTTATCAATGTTCAATGAGCTCCACTGCTACACTTTTTAACCCTTTTTCCCTCGAGCTCTGTGCCCTCCTCCCTCCCCAACCCTCTTGAAGATAGACACGTGAATATACAATATTTAAGGTAAAGAAGACACAATCATCACAAACTTAAAAAAAAGTCTTGCCGGGCACTGGTGGCTCATGCCTGTAATCCTAGCTACTGAGGAGGCTGAGATTGAAGATCATGGTTCAAAGCCAGCCCGGGCAGAAAAGTCCATGAGACTTATCTCTAATTAACCAGAAAACCAGAAATGGCACTGTGGCTCAAGTGGTAGAGTGCTAGCCTTGAAGAGCTGAGGGACAGTGCCCAGGCCCAAAATTCAAGCTCCACAACCAGGAAAAAAAAGGCATTTCCATATCTTGGAGTTCATTTCAGTATGTATATTATTTTTCTTTTTTTTTCTTTTTTTGTCGGTTGTGGGCCTGAACTCTGGGCCTGGGCACTGTCCCTCAGCTCTTCAGCTCAAGGTTAGCACTCTACCACTTGAGCCACAGCGCCACTTCCAGCTTTTTCTGCTTATGTGGTGCTGAAGAATCGAACCCAGGGCCTCATGCATGCAAGGCAGGCACTCTACCACTGAGCCACCTTCCCAGTCCTGTATATTATTTTATATAAATATGAAGAGACATTTAGGCATTGAGCCTTTGTGATTTTTTTCCTCTTTTGGTCTCATTGAATCCTGTATAATTTGTCTTATCCCGGTGTGTTTTAGATCTAACTTTGCATATCAGAGAGAACATGCACTATCTCTGATCTTGGCTTATCTCACTTAACATAATTTGTTCTAGTTTCATCCATTTCCCTACAAATGACATTATTTTATTCTTTCTAACTCCATTGTATATAGGCACCACATCTTTTTGATCCACTCATCTATTGTAGAGCATCTGGAATTTTTCCATATCTTTTTGTTGTTGTTGTTGTTGGTCATGGGGCTTGAATTCAGGGCACTGTCCCTGAGCTTCTTTTGTGCAAGGTTATAGCGCTCTACCACTTGAACCACAGTGTAACTTCTGTTTTTTTCTGTTTATGTGGTACTGAGGAATCGAACCCAGGGAAGCACTCAACCACTAAGCCACAATCCCAGCCCATCTCTGAGCTTTTTTTTTTTGTTGGTTGTGGGGCTTGAACTCAGGGTCTGGGTGCTGTCCCTGAGCTCATCAGCTCAAGGCAAGCGCTTTACCACTTGAGTCACAGTGCCTTACCAGTTTTCTGGTGGTTTATTGGAGATAGGAGTCTCTTGGACTTTCCTGCCAAGGCTGTCTTTGAACGGAGTTCCTCAGAACTCAGCCTCCTGAGTACCTAGGATTACGGGCATGAGCCACCAGCACCTGGCTTTTTCAAACCCAGGGCTTCATGGTAGGCAAGCACTCTACCACTAAGCCACATTCCCAGTCCCCCTGAACATTTTTGCTCAGGGCTAGCACTCTACCCCTTCATTTTGGCTTTTTGTTAATTAGTCCAATTAACCACTTTTGGTCTCACAGTATGGCTTCAAACCATGATCCTTAGATATCTCTCCTGAGTAGCTAGTATTACAGGTGTGAATACCAGCAGTCTTGCTCTTCCTTTCAGTTTTCAGATTGGATTGCTCTTTTTTTTCCCCCTGAGGGTAGGCCTTAGTTACCTCTTGCATTTCTTGCATTTCTGGATTCCAGATGAGTAACACGTTGCTATAGTTATTTGTTGTTTTGGGTTGTTCTTTTTTTTCTTTTTTTGTAGGTCATGGGGCCTGAACTCTGGGCCTGGGCACTGTCCCTCAGCACTTCAGCTCAAGGCTAGCACGCTACCACTTGAGCCTCAGCCCCACTTCCAACTTTTTCTGCTTAACCCAGGGCCTCATACATGCGAGGCAAGCACTCTACCACTGAGCCACCTTCCCAGCCCTGGTCTGCTTATTTGTTGAGATGGAGATCTGGCTAACTTTTTTCCATGGCTGGCCTTTAAAAGTGATCTTCCCAGTATCCATCTCTAAGTATCTGGAATTACAAGTATGTGCCCCTATCCCAGCTTCCTTCTATGCTTAGTACACTTTTCACTACCTCTCCAGGGTCTTTGATTCTTTTTTTTTTTTTTTTGG